CGCCGGGGGCAGGTGACCGCTCCGGGGGCTGGTGACCGCTCCGGGGGCAGGTGACCTCGCCGGGGGCAGGTGACCGCTCCGGGGGCTGGTGACCGGGGCAGCCCTGCAGAGATGACCCTCTCCCCCGCCCGCCCTCTGCCCAGAGAGCCAGCGGAGGTCCTCTCCCAGCCGGGCACTCACCTGCTGCGCCATCCCCGCCCCGATCCTGGGTCAGGCTGGTGAGGCAGTTCTCAGGGCCGCCAGCCACGCCGTCCCTCAGGCAGACGTCCCCGCGGGGGGCCAGGGAGCCGGGGGCAGGGTCGCCGGTGTCCCCGCCCACGCAGGCACAGGGGGTCTGCATGATGCCGCAGGGGTGGGAGCTCCGGCTGCCCGCCAGACAGGCGTCCAGCCAGCGGCACAGCATCTGGCAGGCAGCCCGGCTGGGGTTGCGGTTGCCCACGACCAGGTACTCCACGGAGAAGTCGTCGCTGGGGCCCGGGGGCCCCCCCCGCAGCCGGGGGCCTCGGTCCAGGGGCGGCTGCTGGCGCAGCATCTGCAGGAACTGCTTGCTGGCCTGCAGGAAGGCCAGGGGCGCCGAGGGGTCACAGAGCTGCAGCACCTCATCGAAGCTCTCCACGCCCAGGTAGGTGCGCGTGGACTCCAGGAAGGAGTCGAACTGGTAGGTGCGGACGCGGCCAGGGCCGCCACAGGGCGTGGGTGCCTTGGCCACCTTCATGTAGAGCGTGTAGCGCCGAGGGTCGGGGTTGCGCAGGGTCCAGGAGCAGCGCGAGGCGTTGGCGGGGAACACGGCGGCCGCCGAGAAGTAGCCGAAGAACTTGCCCTGCACCAGCGTGGCGCAAGGCTCGGCCCCGGGCCCCGTGTCCGCCCCTGCGGCCGCCCGCGCCCGGCGCCCCAGCAGCAGCAGCAGCAGCAGCAGCAGTGGGGGGCACAGGATCCGGAGGGGGCCCGGGGCGGCCGCCTGGCCCCTCATCCTAGCTCGCGGGGCCGCCGGGGTTCCGCGGGCTGGGCAGGCAGGCGCGGGCCAGGCCTTGACATGCCAGGGTCCGGCGAAGGCGGGGCCGGGCAAGGCAGGAGCCGGGGGGCAGGAGGAGGGGAGCGCTTCAGACGATCTCGAGGGCAGCAGTGGCTCCTAAAGTTCGGGGCCCCGACGCGGGCCTGTGGCTTCAGCAGCAGCTGGAAGAAGAGCAGAAGAGGGGATGGGGTGAGCCCCCTGGGAGATTGGGACCCTGGGCACGCTGCGGCCGGGCCCCACTGCCCAGCCTGGGCTTTGGGCGGCTGACGTAGGGCCTGGCACGGCTCCCAGGCACCTGCCCCATCCACCCGTATCTGCCTCCTGCCAGTGTGTCCACCTGCAGGGGGCCGGGGACCTCCTCCTCCAGCCTGGCTGGAGCAGGGACGGGTGGGCGGCACTGGGCCGGGGGCCGAGTGCCACTGGGGCCTTCGCTGTGCCCGTGTGGCTGAGCAGCCTGGTGTGGCTCCCGTGGGCTCCGGGCCTGCCTGCTTGCTCCTGTCATGGCCACAGCCGCCATTCACTCCCGGGGCCTCTGGTGGGGGGCCTGGCTCTCTCTCCTGGCCATCCTGGGTCTTTGTCCTCTCTGCCCCTCTTCCTCCCCATCCCCTGCCTTTCAGGGAAGAACCCACAAACCTCAGCAGAAGGAAGGGGAGGGGGCTGTGGAGGGGAGAAGTCACTCCCTCCATCCCCCAGGGGTGGGAGTGCCTGCCCCTTGCCCGGTGCCTCCTCACCGCACTGGGACTGTGACATTATGATATGGGTCACTGCAGCCTCTCAGGCGCCTCCCTCCTCCTCCTCCTCCTCCCACCCTGGGCACCCACTGGCTCCGGGGCCCTGCAGCTCTGGCCAGGAGGGTCTGGGGATGGAGCCACCCAGAACCACATACATCCAGGCTTCAGCCGACACTAAGCCTTTGCCTCACCCCTTCTTTGCCAGGCCGGCACCAGGACCCCCGGCTTCAGGATGGGGACACCCAGGCTAAGAGGGTAAGTAACTCGCCGGAGGCCACAGTGAGGGAGAGGAGAACCCACAGCGAACCTCCCCCACTGACCCCAGTCTGTGCCACAGCTCACGGGGTCCCCTCCCTGCTCTGGGAGAGGGTGCTGGCCGCGTGCTGGGGAAGGGGCGGCAGCCGCCAGCCCCTTAGTGCAGGGACAGCGGAGCCACTCTGGGCTCAGAAATGGGCGATGCCCCTCCTGGACTCGCCACCACGTGCACCCTGGCAAGTTCCTTCTGCCTCCAGACCTCAGTTTCCCCACTATCGCCAAGGCCGCTAGTTGGGCCAGCTGTCCGTCCCACGCAGCAGCTGAGCCGGTGGGTGAGGAAGGAGAGCTGCCGCCGGTCCCCCAGGCGGCCCGGCCTCCCCTCTGCTGACCTTGCACGTGCCGGCCGCCTGCCCACAGGGACTCGCTGCTTCCTGCTGCCCAGGCCCAGCTGGCTGGCGTCGTCCTGCACCGGCTGTTGGCGGAGCAGGGAGCTGGGCACAGGTGGCCCTGGGCCCTGAGCAGACCCAAGTGGGGGTGCCTGGACTCGGGCTGCCCCCTCCTGGCTGTGTGGCCTCGGGCGAGTCCCTTTCCCCCAGCCTCGCTTCCCCATCTGTAAAACGGGAGGTGAAGCCTCACTCTCTCAGCAAGAGGGTAAGAGCTAGACCTGGGGGTTTACCTGTGTTTGGGGCAGGAGGTGACTCTAGAGGGGAGAGGAGGCTGGAGTAGGGTTCTGGATCTGGGGTAGCTGGGCCAAACCTGGTCCTCTGGGGGCTCTTTCATGGCAGACATTTAGGTGCCCCGAGAAAAGAATTTGCAAACTTCTCATCCTGGCACCTCTGGGCAGAGCTGAGCAGACTCTGCACTTGGCCCTTGGTCCCCCGCTGCCTCTAGACCACTTGGGGCCAGCCTTGTATGTGGGCATAGCAGAGCCCCCTGGCCCTGGCCACCTGCCCCCCACATCATGGGGATGGAGAGGCCATGGCCAGGGTCCTACAGCCAATCCCAGACTTGGTCGGTCCCCTGCAGGCTTGCTGCAGAGAGGTGGCAGTGTGTTCCGAAACCTCCCCTGAGCCTCAGCCCCTCACTGCAGCACCCCCACCCCCCCACGCTAAGTCCCAGGCTGGGACCTAATGTGGAAGCCAGCCCCCAACCCGGGGGCAGTCTTTCCCTAATGCTCCAGGCCCAGGGGGATGCTGGCAGAACCCAGCAGAAACTGACCTCCACATACATCTGCCCACCTCGCTGCACCCCATCACTGACCCCAGTGGGACTGCACAGTCTGAGATGACCCAGGCCAGGGCCCCCCTCGGCCACAGCCCCTCTCCTGTCTGTACACTCCCTCTTCATCCCAGCCCCTGGCAGCCCATCCCATAGCCTTCCCGCGGAGGGGGCTGGTCCCAGGGGGCCAGGAGCGGGTGCAGGAGGTGGCCTTCGGGCCTGTGCCAGGCACGGGGTCCTCTAGGGCCTCCGTCATCCCATCTGGAAGAAGTAGATGCTCAGCCATGTGGTGCTGGGATGACAGAGTGCCTCTGCGCTCACACCTCCGTGGATTCGGCGGCCTGGGCTGGAGGGGACATTCTGCGGAGCTCTGTCCTGTGCCCGGCATTTTGTGTTGACAGCAGCAAACTGTAACCTGGGGCACTTTGTTAGGGTTCCATCTGGGACCCCAGAGGAGTCAGCCTCAGTGGGACTCGTAGGTGCCGGGTGCCTGAGCCAGGATCCCCAGCCTGGGCTGCCAGTCGGAGCGGGCCCCTCTGCACCGCACCTAACCCGATGCCTGTCCCAGGGCCGCGGGAGCCGGGCCGAGCGAGGGCCTCCCGGCATCCCTACCACCAGCCCTCATCGTCACTGGCTCACTCCACTCTTTGAGCACCTGCAGGGCGGGGGAGGGGGATGCGGCCCGCTTGCAGTGTCCTGCACACCAAGAAGAGGTGGCGGGGAGGGTTAGAGGCAGGGCCGTGCCCCCAAGAAGGGCAGCCCTGCAGTCCATGGGGGAGAGTGGTCTCGGCAGGAAGGGCAGGGGTGGTGGTGGGGGAGGAGGGGAGTGGGGGGAGGGTGCTGGGGAGAGAGAAGACAGAAGTCCCAGTGGCCAGCTGGGCTGTGGGATGTGGGGGGGGGGCGTGCAGGGGTGAGGGTGTGGCAGGGGGCAGGTCAGGCAGAGCTCAGAGCCCCCTCAGGTAGCTGCAGCCCAGGACCGAGGCTCTGCAGTGAGCCTTCACAGACCCCTAGGGCCAGAAGATGGCCTAGAAGTGCCCACTCATGGGGTTCTCAAACAGCGTGCCTGGGAGCTCTGGGGTTCCCCACAAGGGCCACCAGGGAGCCAGGGTCGGGAGGGAAGCAGTAGGGTTCAGGTCACATCTCGGACTCAAACTGCCCCACACTGTGGGCGCTGGGGAAGGCTCTGCTGGCCAGAAGGCTGTCCCAGCTGCGAGTCTGAGCATCATGGGATCAGCCCGGCCTGGCTTCTGCTGGCTGGGTCACAGGGCAGAGGCCCAGGCTGTCCTTGGGATGGCTTCGGCACCTGCCAGTGGGCACTCACCCTCTACCTCCCAGGCCTTTCCAGTGAAACGAGGCCTCCTCCATCCCCACTAGCTCCCTACCTGATCCCCTCCAACAAGACCGTGGATAGGTGGCCCCGAGGCCCCTCTGAGCCTTCTTGCGCCAAGGCAGCCCCAGGCAGACAGAGAACTGGGCAGGCTTGGGGCACACTGGTGTCAGGCCCCAGGTCATACAGCTGCGGCGGAGGCTAAGTGGAGTCTATCCCAGGCCACGGAGAGTGGTGCTGAGACACGGCGGGGGCGTACAGGGGGGTCCTGACCGCTCTGGTGCCCGGGGCGGGGTCGTAGAGGGGACAGTGTCCAGGTCAGGTCCTAGGATGAGTGGGGGCAGGGCCTGATCTGATCTTCATTCTGGGGTCCCTCTGACAGCTGGGGGCAGGTGCAGGCAGGGAGAGTGAGGGAGTGGCCTGTGTAGGATCTGGGCCAGGGGAAGCCGGGGTCACAGAGACGACGCTGGGTAGTGGGGGCCCTCAAGGAGATGGGAGGCAGCTGTGTGCCCACATACGTGTTGGAATATGCCTATGTGTGGGCACGCGTGTGAAAGCACAGACGTGTGCACGTGCACACACACATCTGCGCATGCATGCACGTGTGTCACATGCTTGTACATGGTCCCACAGCAAGAAGAGAGCCGGGCTCAGCGTGAGCTCCCTGGGATGTGAGGGCCAGCCAGACGCTGGGACAGGAGGGGACCTGGAGGGGACCTCTCAGGGAGAGCCCAGTGGCCAGGCCAGAGCCCCGAGGAGCCCAAGGCAGGGCCTCAGAGCGGGAGGCCTGGGCCCGGAGGAAGGCCGGCCCCATACCAGGAGCAGGGCCGGCGGGCAGCTCCCGCGGCTCCCGCAGCACCTGCCCGGGGCGCCCCGGGCTGGCTCGGGCCCCTCCCTCGGCCGCATCCAGCGCGCAGGCCTCTGCTGGCGGTCAGGGCTCTCTGAGCCTGCTGTGGCCACCCGGGAGGGGCTGGAGGAGCCTCCGCCCTGCCCCTGGTGCTGGGCTCTCGTGTGGCCACCGCCGGTCCTTTCCACGAGTGCTCACAGGGGGCTGTCTTCTCCCCACACACACGCCACTGGTCTGGTCACTGGTCCCCCAGATTCCAGCCCGGGTGACTACAGTTTGTCACCCACTGCCCCTCTTGGGCTCCCAAGGACAGTGACCATTAGCAGCCAAGCCTCTTCGGGTGCCCACCTCCCCCATCACCTTCTCAGGACCAAACTGCCTTTGCTGCCAGGAAGTTCTTCCTGGTGTCCAGCCCCCAGCCCTCTGGCCAGGTTCAGCCCTGCCCCTGTTGCAAGGCCTCCCTGAGCCTGCGCGGGAGGGCAAGGGAGCCCTGCAGGTGTCTGAGCGGGGTCACAGGCTAGAGGCCACCGGAATGGGAGGGGCATGACAGTGGGCGGGGGGGGGGGCGGACCGAGAGAACTGGCTGTGCCAGGTGGGGACAGGAAGCTGGGAGTCAGGGTGAGGAGGACCAGTGAGAGTGACTGCTATTTCCTGAGCACTGCCCACAGGCTGCTCCAAGGGAACCCCCCTGTTCAATCCCACGGCACCCCCGTGCAGAAGGAGCAGAATCAAGGCCACAGCGAGGCTCCCAGGGCCACCATCAGCCACGGGGTGCCCCGCCCACCTTCCACACCATCCCAGATGCATCCATGCACGTGCAGGCCATCTGTGTCTCCGCCCCGACAGCAGAAGCCCCGGGTGCCTCGGTTTCCCCACCGTACAAGGGCCTGGCCTGGACGCTGCCCCCGCAGGCTCCACGATTCTCCAGCCCCACTTGGGTCTGTCCAACCCCCCTCCCCAGGCTCAGCACCCTCCCCCGCAAGGCCCAGTGCACACACACAGACCCACCTCAGGCCCGGCCTCCGCATCCCCTCCCCACCCACCCCAGGCCGCCAATGGCATCCCCAGATGCCAGCCACAAAAGGCACTCTGTTGTCCTGCCCGGCCCCCTGAACAGTGCCTGCCTGTGTGTCCTGGGAAGAGGCTGCACTGGGGGAGGGGTGGGTGGGCACCCTCAGCACCAACGATAGCCCAGGGGCTGGCTGGCGGGCAGGGGCCGGCAGAGCAAGCAGGAGAGGCCGTCCAGGGACGCGCGACCACCCCCACCCATGGCAGCCTGCCCTCCCGGCCGAGGGGGTCCCGTGAGCCCCCACACATCCCTCCTGGGCCGTAGCAGGTCAGGCAGCCTGGTCCCCGGGGAGGCCGTGTTGGGTCTGGTGGGGGCAGAGGGGGGGGACTGCTGACATCGATCCAGGACAACCCAGGACAAGGAGAGGCCAGGAAGGGCCAGGCAGGCCTCCCTCCATGAGCACAGAAGCAGGTGGGGCGTGAGAACTTGCCCCCCACCCCACAGCCACCAGCTGCCCGCACTCCCAGCCCGTGTGAACCAGGCTCCCGGTGAACCCCCCATCTGACCTGCAGGGTATCCCAAGCCTGCCCTGAGGAGCCCCCAGGCCAGGCCCCTGAGAGGCCCTCCACATCACCATGCCTGCCAGCCCCAGCCCCTCAGGAAGCCTCCTTCCCTTGCCCGCCGGCCTGGGCCCAGGGGCGGTGGGGGGGGGCACCTGGCTGGAAGCCAGGCAGAACTGTGCAAGAGAAGAGAGGAAGCCCCCCTCCCCACCTGAAGGTCTGCTGCTGGGAAGGGCCTGTCCTGTGCTGGCTCTGCTTCAGGCCACCCCATACCTGCTCCCCCACCCACGGAGGGCAAGGCCATCTTCACCTCTATTTCACAAAGGAGGTCGACAGAGCCCCTGTCTCAGTAGTCAGGAGTGAGAGACTATCACCCCGCATCCCACCCCACTGCCCCAGGCCCCCCGGTCCCGGAGCCAGGGGCCAGCTCTCTGAGGGGCCTCGCCACGCCTCCTCTTGCCCAGAATCCCATCACCCCGAACCACTCACAGGCCTTGAAGACGCTCCGTGCACTCAAGCTCCTGGCTTTGCTTCCATTCTGCCCCTCCTGGGCTGCCCCCGCTGCCCCTGCCCGGCGAACCCCTTCTCATCCTTCAGGGCACGGGGCAAGGGCCTGCCCCAGGAAGCCGTACCTGAGCCTGCCGGGCCCTCCCAGGAGCGGATGTGTCCTGCATCCCCAGCATGCACGCGCCCTCGCACACATGCACACGTGGGGTCACTCACATCCGGCACAAACGTGTGCACGCAGGCTGGCTCTCCTGGGGAGCGTCCTAAGTGGGGACAGGGACGGCATCTGTCCCAGGGCTAGGGGCTCCCCACCAGGGCGGGGGACTCTCATGAGGAGGGGGTCGCTGCGATTCCGAGTGTGACAGATGTCACTGTGCCCTCTCCTCTCTGTGTCGGCCGGCTCGGTGTCCGGAGTGAGCCCCCGTGCCCCGAGACGGACAGAGGCTCTGCTGCCCTGCCCACCCAGCTGCTGGCTTGTGAGTGGTGCCCCTATCCACACCCCCACACCAGGATCTGTGCTCCCCAGGTCCCCAGGAGGATGGGCTTGTCCAAGGTCACCTGCCCAAGGTCACATGGAGAGGGCCAGCAGACAGCAGAAAGGTGGGAAGAAGTGGTCAGGAAGCGGCTGGGGGGCACGCTCAGGTCGTGGGGCTGCCCTGGGCAGAAGGTGCTGAGGTCCCAGGGGCATCCCCGGCAGGCCTGGCTGGGCAGAGACGGCAGAGGTCCTGACGGCGTGTGGAGGGGATGAGTAGAGACTGGCACTTAGCCTGCAACCGCTCCATGGAAGTGAGGTCTCTGGCTCCCACAGTCCCCTGTACCTCCTCCAACAGCACCCCCAGGAGACGCAGGGTAGGCATCCTGACCCAGTGCTTGGAGGGGCAAAGTCTCCCCCAGCTGGAGGCTGCACCCAGGGCCTCTACCGCCACCCACAGGGTGACCTCTGCTCTCTGTGGGGGCCAGCCAAGGAGAAGGACAGACAGAGAGAGAGGGGCTGGGGCTCAAGGCCCCAACCACAGCCCCCCTCCCCCAGCTCTGGAGGGAGACCGAGACAAGCGGACCCGGTGCCCCAGGGCAGGACCATGGGGCCCACGGATAGACAGGCTGGGGTGCTGAGGAGCATGTCCGGGTGCAGAGAATGCATGCACACACATGTTCATGCAGTGTATGAGGGAGTGTGTGTGTCCCAGGACACGTGTGTATGAGGCTTTGTGTGGGGGAGGCAGCGTGTGCACTCGCAGTATGAGCGAGCTGCCGGCGTGCTGGTGTGCAAGTGTGTGCGTGCACACATGTGAGTGTGCGAGTGCGCGTGCTCTTGTCGAGAGGAAGGCTTCCGGAGGCATCACCTGCGAGGTGGGGCCCAGGGACAGGTCAGGGCTCGTCTGGGCGCGGTGGGGAGCAGGGGCAGCGGGCGGCGGAGGGCACTCTCTCCCTGCCGATTCTCTCTCCTTCCATGCATTCCCCAGGGCACTGGATGTCACCCCCCCCAGCCAGATCAGGTCCTTACCAAGACCTGCCCTCGACAGCCCCAACCTCAGCGGCGCCCTTTGCAGTGCTCGGCACTCTGGGGCACAGGGTGGAAGGGCTCCTGGCCCTGAGTCATGGAGTCTCCGAGAAGCGGCTGGTCCAAAGTCACCTTGCCAGGCAGGAGGGAGCTTGGGGCCATCAACTCTCATGCAGGCTCAGGGCTTAATAGGGGTTGGGGGGGGTGAGGCGCAGACTTCAGGGGGTGGGGTCTGGTGCTCCCTCCGTCCCCCCATCCAGGTGGGGGTCAGGGCCCTGCAGGGCCCTGCAGAGCTCTGAGGCCTCTGCCCACCAGCCCTCAGGGACCTCAGCCCATGTCTCAGCCAAGAGTCAGAACCCCAAAACTGGCAGCCAGCCTCCCAAAACTGCCTGGGCTGGGGCCCAACTCTGGTGCCTGCCCTGGCGGCCTCTCCTGGCTTCTGGTGGTGCTGGGGCGCACAGAGATCCATGCACGGGAAGACAGGTGGTGGGACCAGCACAAAGATAATGGAGGTGCCAAAGGTGACAGTGGGGGCGGGGGGCGAGCCAGAGGCCCACAGTGTACACTGGACACTTCCATTTGCCTGAACCATTTACAGGACAGACACACGCAGTTGTCTTGTGGCAAGTTAGGGAATCGCTAACGGTCACACGGGGCAGGAGGACCTGGAGTTTGGGCGCGAGATGGAGACTCCCTTCTGCTCCCCAGACCCTGTGTTCCCATCCGTTGCCACTTCTTCGGTTAATAGGCATGGGTTCACATGAAGAAGGGGGAGGGCAGGGGAAGTGAGGGCGAGCAGGACAGAGATGCCCCCTTAGCGCGCTTGGCGCTTTGTCCGTGAGCGCCAGTCTTTGCCTCACCCTGTGAGACGGGGGGACTGCCGGCCCCAGCACACAGCTGAGGACGCCAAGCCGGGACAGGCTCATGGGGATCTGAGCCCAGAGCTCTGCATCCAGCCGCATCTGCAGGGCTCGGGGCTCCTGGGGGGAGGGGCTCCTATTCCGTCCCCTGCAGCTGTGCCCACGGAGACTCTCCCCTCTGAGCAACACCTCACCCTGGGATGTGCGTGTGCACAGTGGGGTCCAGACCGCAGGGCAGTGGTATTCTGTGCGCTTTTCTTGATGGGACGCGCACGCTGCACTGAGTCTGCTCTTGTTGCAAGTTGGGTGCGGGGGTCTTGGGGGGCATTTGGTCCTGATGGATGTAGTCTACCATGCGGCACAGGTGTGGGGCTGGCAGCACCTGTCACTGGCTGTGCGTTCCGTCTCCTGTGAGCCTGCTGTCCACAGGGGCGCCCGCCACTGCTTTGACATGTCCATCAGGCCAAATCGCCACCCCTCTTTAAGATCCCCTTGGTCCTCCCCCGGCTCCCAGGAAGCAGCCCAAAGCCTCCAGGGCTCAGGTCGGGCCCCACTCCCTCTGAAGTCCCCACCTGCCATTCATCCTCCTTTCCAAGTCCTGTCCATTCCTCACAGCTGTCCTGTCGCCTGCCACAGGGCCTTTGCATGGCTGCTCCCTTCCCTTCACCATACCTACCCCCCCCTTCTGGCGGAAGCCTCCGTGGGAGCCCCACATCTGGACCCCTGCAGGCTGGCCGTTATCCTCCACCCCCTAGAGCTGATTCACAGGGCTTGTCAGAGCGTCTTCACTCCCATCCTCTCGTCAGCCTTCACATTGGGGGTGTGGGGCTGTGACCATGCCCGCCCCCTGGCCTTCACTGCACCCCCAGTGAAGTGTACCCACGTGGGCACCCCCAGGTGTAGTGTGTGTGTGCATGCGGACGGTGCACAGGGGCCCCGGGCCGTGCGTGTTTCCCCGGAAATCACAGCCCTGCCCTATGGCGCAGCTGCAGCCGGGGAGGCCGGAGGTGGGAGGGTTGCAGAGGACAATGGGAGTGTGGGTTTGCTGGCACAAACCCTCCAGGTTCAGGGTCTTCATGGGGCTCAGATAGAGCTTGACTCCCAGGGTCCACCTCCTGCACACAGTGCGGACACAGGACCTGCCCAAGGGTGAAACGCGGCTGGACGGAACACTGCCATCCGGGGCGCGCACTCCCAGGAGACCTGCACCGCGCCGCGCACACAGATGTGACAGCGTGTCTGCACACACATGCCGGAAGCGTGCGTGGCCCACATGTACACAAACACGCTCGCTCACGCGTGTGCACAGTGCGCAAGGGCACGGGGGCCAGGCGAGCGGACAAACAGGTGACGGGGCCTGGCTGAGACGCCAGTGACCGGGCCGGGCGGGCAGCAGAGGGCCCGGCGGGAGGGCGGGGCGGCCGGGGG